GTATTTCATTTAATTTTCTGTGGAGTGTCTAAGTGATCAAGTTTTTTGTATTTACATTTCCAGGTGAAAGACAAAGAATAGAGCAGCAGGTGCCCAATAATCAACAAGAATCCTTTCAAAACCAGTTTCCCCAACCAATGTTTCCTCCCTGGGCAATGCATCATCCACCCTCTGCCTTACCTCTTTTCCAACCTTACCCAGTGCAAGGAGTGCCATACTATCAAGCTTATTCAGGAAATGGCTCTTTTTATCACCCACCTTACCCTCCTATGGAGGACCCTCGAATGGGAGTCGTGCATAGAACTGGGGGAAAAAGGCAGTCCATGGACGGAGATGGCAGTTCTGAGAAATCCCTGGATGACCCAGACTGGGATAATGAAGACCCACAGTATCAAGAGCACAGGAAGAAGGCAGGACGGTCTAGAAAAAGACAATCAGGAAAAGTTGTCATTCGAAATATTAATTACATTTCCAAAGCAAAGAACTCCTCTGATAGTAACTCAGGATCAGGTTCTGATTCTGAAAGCAATGCAGATGGTGGAGATCTTCTGAACACGACTTCTCGATCATCTAAAACAAAAGGTAGCAGTGGAAAGTTTTTGAATGAGCTCAATTCATATGATATAGAAGAGGATACCATCAACGAGAAGGAAACAGATGATGGGCATTGGTTAGCTTTTCAAAATCTTTTGTACAGAGAGAAGGATGAAGACAACCATGCTGACAAAGATCACATGTTTATGACAGACGAAGGTGTAAGGAGGAAACAACATTCTATAGGTGATGATCCCATTGCTCTGGGTGGTCGAGGTTCAGATGATTTGCATGATAGTAGGATAAATGACATCCATAAAGTTAGTACAAATATGTCTAGATTGTCCCGGGGATCAAATGATGGTGTTTTATTTTCTAACAGGGGGCATGCTAACACTGTGGGTCAAATGGACATTCAGTTTGCTGAGACAGAAGGTAGAAAGGTCATGTCTAGGACTGCAAATGATGACTTTATGGTGCCTGGTCGAGCAACTGATTTGCGAATGAGGAATTCCTTAGATCCTCTAGCTGAGAATGGAGTTGGAAGTGCTACTAATAAATCGCAGAAAACCTTCTCAAATGGTATGGCTGATGAATCTTTTATAGTACCATTTAGATCAATGACGTTGGATGATACTGTAGCAGACAACAGAACTGCCATTGATATGGATTCTGAGCTTCCGGCAACACCTAAAAACACAGCAAATAACTCTCATGGAGAAAGGAGCCAAGTTAATTATGAGCCTAGTGATTTGGGTTTGATACCTGAACGTGACGCAGAAAAATGTTCCAGTGGATATGACCCCTCTTGGGACTATGAAATGCAAGTTTGTGTCAAAGACACTGTTTCTCAGGATAAAGGAAAGAAAGAAGGCACAAATAATGTGAAGAAAGGACCTCAGAAATCAGACAAGGACCGTAGGCCAAAAGCTGCCTCGGATTTAGATAAGAAAAGGGTTGGTGGACCCATTAGAAAAGGAAAAATGGCAAAGACAAGTCCTCTAGAAGATGCACGAGCACGAGCTGAGAAAATAAGATCCTTTAAAACTGATATCCAGAAGATGAAAAAAGAGAAGGTATGTTTGCCTTTAATATGCTACTGTTAAGGGAAAAATCTTAGTATGAAAGTAGCCAGAGGCCATGGTCATGCTGCTTGTAATAAACTTAAACAGCATGTTTATGTTGGATGTAATGGAAACTCAGCAATATAATGATGTGGCTTATAGTCCATTAAACTACATGGTCATCATTGCTTTTCTGGTGCTTGGCATAAACTTCATTAATACATCATGCATCTCACACTATTACTTCATTAAATTTTATTATTTTTTGATTCTCTCATTGAATTAGATGTGTAACTTATTTACATTTTAACAGGAAGAGGAAGACCTTAAACGCTTAGAAGCTTTGAAATTGGAGAGGCAAAAGAGAATTGCAGCAAGAGGCAGCTCAAGTTCAGCTCGTTCAGCGGCACCTTCTTCTCAAACAAGAAGATTGCCGACAAAATTATCTCCGAGTTCTGTTAAAGGATCAAAGTTCAGTGATACAGAGCCAGGATCATCATCACCTTTACAGAGAACCAAAATACGAGCTCCCACTGAATCCCATGATTCACAAAAGGCCTCTAAATCCACTAAAGTAAGTGATGGACACTTGGCAAATGATCGGTTGACTAGATCAGCATCATCATTGTCTGATCCCAATAAGGAAAGTAATGGTGTCACACCTGATTCAAAAACATCAAGAGCAAGACTTAGAAGATTATCTGAGCCCAAAACAATCAGCAGCAAACCTGTTGCATCAGTGAAGGCACAACGTTCTGAACCAGTATCAAAGCCAAGGGTACGTAATTCTGAATCAGCATCCAAGTCTAAGCTATCTGATTACCCTGAAAGCAAGAAAATATCAGCTATCATGGACCTTGATAAGAAGAAGGCTGCTACCCTTCCTGAACTGAAGATTAGAACACCCAAGGAAGTTTTAGATGTACACCTTGAAAAGTCAGCTGTGAAGGATACAATGAAGGTGAATGATTCTGGGCCTTCAGGAAATTCTGAAAGCACTGAACCTTTCATGAAAAACAGAAAACTTCCACATGAGAGTGAAGGAGATGAAATCATTGTTGAGAAGACTGTTGTGATGCTCGAGTCTGAAAAATCCTCTTCACTGGCGCCCAGTGCATCTGTAGAAAATTTGGTTAAACACAAGCAACAATCTGATTTTGATGATAGAGGGGAAAGAACTGCAGTGGTATCTGAGTATGCTTTTATAGATGCACCGCCTTCACCCTTTGAAGGATTTGTCAGGGATCCTATTCCTGGCCGCTTTCTGGAACAACTGAATTCACAAGAGGTAATATAGCAAATATCTTTGGTTAACACCACTGCGTCATGTACCCTTTTATCTTATTTGCAACCAAAATCACCGTCTCCAACATCTATATTTTTACTTCAGTCACTGGGGATAATTTACAATCAACATGAATTAGGTTTGAAGGCAAAAATTGTGCACATATAAGTTAAATTACTTTTATCAGAGTGCTTTATGCAATTAATTCTTTACTAAATGTTGTGTTAATCCCCGTTTGTTATACTTTTATCTATTCTTATACTTCACTAAATTTATTTTGCTTACTTGGATAATAGTAATATCTCAGCTAATACTTTTATCCATTGTTATACTTCACTAAATTTTGGTTTTGTATGTTTCAGGTGGGAGCAAATTCTGTAGAGGAGACACCTAAATTTGCGAGTATTGATCCTGCTGTAAGACCTTATTATCAAGCCCCATATGCTCGTGTCTCCTCCATAGAAGTACCCTGTACTAGATACTCAGAGTATGCCAAAGCACCCCCGGCAAACTCAGAATTGGCATCAGTAGAACCTGCTCCTAAAGCACGTGTTGATGATGTGAAGACTGTGACAGTATATAACATTCAGGAAGGTTCAGAGAAGGCTCAAGTTAAAGAGCCATCAAAAGGATTCAAACGGCTCTTGAAATTTGCGAAGAAGAGCCAATCCTCCATTTCAGGTGATCGAACTCTTGAATCAGACAGTAACAGCGCTGTTGGTCTAAAGCAGGATGATAATGCAACAAGTATTGCTTCATCAAGTGAAGGTAATATACTAATACGACGTTGAACCCCCCGTTTTGATGATTTTAAAACAAGCGATCCACTTTTCTGTCACCAACTAATGTAACCTGTGCTAACCTTTTAAAATGTTTCTTCCAGTTTACACTTTGAAGAATTTAATATCTCAAGACGAAGTCCCAAGTACTGGAAACGCTGTTCAGAAGTGTGAGTACAACGTTCTATCTGCATGTCGTGTAAATTCTTTATGTATTAATCAAATGTGGAACTCATAATTCTATTTTCTGCTTGGATTCAGCTCGCCATTTTTCTCTGTTATCACCCTTCCGGAGTAAGACAACCGAAAAGAAGCCGGCATCATAGACCTTCTGCAGTTCTGCCATTGTCATCTGGTACTTTCAGTAATGGGCTTGCTGTAATTTCCATGTCAAGTCTCAACCTATTTATTTACCATTAACTTCTACTGTTATAAAAGAGGTCATTGTATAAAATTGAACTGTGATTTTGATACCCAATGGAAAATTATCTTGAAACTTAACTTAATTTGTTTATATACTACTGTTCTGAGTTTGAGGATATGTGGCATATTTCGGGTTAAGACTGCTACAACTTTCGCCCCAGCCTCCAAGTGCTCTTCCTCAATCGCAAACTATATCTCTCCGCTAAACATATTATATATTTTTAGTTTATTTATCTACCGTTTACGTATTATATACATATAGTTAATATATTATGTGCTTGCACGAGTTTAGATCATGGGTTCAGTAGACAGTATTTGAAGCAAGAAATCGAGATTCGAAATTCAACTGTGACACTGATAACTAGACATTGTCTGGCCTTCTCTTGGCCGATGCAGGACGTGTACACGTAGAATAACTTAGTGGGGCCTAGCTCCTCCAATGTATTGAAAAAAAAAATCATAATTCATAATCTACAATGTGTATGGTAAATTTTGGTCTACAATGATTACTTCCTCAATTAAGAGTTAAATTTTGCAGGTGTAATTTGGATTGAATCACATAATATTATATTTGGATGTTATACCAATTAAAAAGAGCCTGGGCTTATTGGTACACTATTCTTAAATTTAAATCCGAAAAAAAACTACTCCGTATATTTTAGATTGACAAAAAAATCTCATAATTACTATTCTTACATTGAATAAATTTTACTTATGTGTAATAGTCTATAAAGTCAAAATTCTATATTTATATATCGAATGGTTGCATTCGGGTTATACCAATAAACGTTGAGTCATGACATTATCTTTTTCAAAATACTACTCATACTGAATCATTGAGCTAAACTCATGCGACAGTCTTTTAAGTCTTGACTAATCAAGGACAATTCCCTTCAAAAAAAAAAAAAAAAGGGCAATTCAGTAAAGACACCAACACCTTCTTCTTCTTCACTTAAACCTCCGTAAAACCCACTGTCTGTCTCAAAGGAGAAAGGAGGGGGAAAGAGCAAAAATGGCCATTTCTCATCTTCTTCAGCTCAAATCAGCCTCTCATATCAACAGAATAGGTAAGAAATTAAAACCCATTTCATGAAATGTGATTTCCATCCACCTTCCTAGTTCGCAATTCCCCCTTTTCTCTCATTTTTTCAGAAAAAAAAAAAAAGTTAAATTTTTTTGCGCATATATTTATGTAAATATCATTCGTATAGGAATTCTAAGATCTAGAATACTGTACTCTTCATTGCCCTCTGATGGCAACAGCGACAAGAAGCCACAACCGAAGAAGTCAGAACTGGCGAAGCAGCAAAAAGCCCAAGCCGTGGAGTCATTTGTCAAGAAGTGAGCTTCCCTTTTGCTTATTAATTCTTTTTTTTTTTTTTCATTTATTTATTCCAAGTTACTGTCTACTGATCCAATATCTATTGCCAATGGAACCTTATATTCTTCAGCTTTGATTTCTCTGTGAAATTTGAGCTATGTTTGTGTAAATATGTTGAGGGAAAACTATCCTGCTTTTTATGAGTTTGACCTTGTTAACATGATCAAAGCTTAAGGTCCAAGTATTTAGGATTGAAATCCTTGAATCTTGTGTTTTGTATCACTTGACTTTGATATATTTCATGGAGTACTGTGATTGCTGCTTACATGTTTATGCAATTTACAAGTTAAAAGCACAAAAATCTCTGAAAGGTAGCCATGGTGCCTTTTAAGTCTTTAATATATGAAGAATCTGTAGTATGCTTTTATTGTGCATTAGAGGAACTTCTAAATTATGGTGGTTTCTACTTCAGTCAAGTTGGCTTGCTTTTTCATAAAAGTTTATTACTCCGTACTTTGGAAGGGAAATTAATTTGAATGTTTCATACTCGTCAATGAGGTGTTATCTTCAAATTGTCAAATGTCTTTTTAGTGTGCACTTGGGCATCCTCAACGTGGAATAATTGATATGAGCCAGTGAATTGTCTGATTCTTTAGCCTGTCCAAATATGTGTAGCAATCTCATATATAGATGATAAGAGGTTTGTCATTATTACTTTAATATTACTATATTACTTTTAAGTGAGTGGGGGGATTGTTTTTTTGAGTACTGTTGGCTCTGTTACAATGCAGTATCTGTTCATAACTACTTTCTCGCACAAAGAGTTTCAGCTGTGAATTTGATTATTTGAAGGGTGCGTATATGTATAAGTTTGTATCTGGAATCTGGATAGTAGATACCCTCGTTCCATGGCAATTAATATCTTTCTTCTTTTTCAATGATTCAGCCATATGTATTATATATTCTGAAGTCTTTTTGGAACATTAACGTGGTAGGTATATGGAGGAAAACGAAGGTACGTTTCCAAAATCAATGCACGTCCAGAATGAACTGGGTGGTTCGTGGCATAATTTGAAGGGAGTGCTTCAGATCATCAAGGATAAAATGATGGGAAAATTCGATGAAAGGAATAGCTCTGGTGCGCTTACCTCTACTTCTGATCCTGAAGTTTCCAGTGATATTCCGTCTCATAAAGTTGATAATAGTGGTGATGAACGTGAACCTCGAGTTCGTGAGCAAGTAGTTCAAGAAGGTACTACAACCGTTTCTAATAATGATGAACATGCTAACCCGAGAATGCCTAGTGTGGATGGGCAATCTTCCTCTCCAGAGGTGGTCAGTGCAACAGCCTTAGATAATCTGGACGAGCAATCTTCCTCACAGATATTTTCAAGATTAGTGAAAAATCTTCTGAATTCTGAAATAGCAAGGAAGGAAAGTAATCAGATAACAGAAAGTGAGGAAACATTATCAGACATTGTTTCGATGCCAAGTGAAGGTAACCCTTTCAGCCTAAGTACATATACAGAGACCGAAAGGGATAAACAGCCTTTGCTGTCTGATAATGCTCATGAGACGATAGAGTTAAAACATCACCTTGTTGACAGCATAAAGGATCAAACAGCAGAAATGATTGCCAATTCAATTAGTGATGCATATATACCTAGTTTTCATCAGCAATCAAGTGAACCTTCCAGGGATACTGATGTTCTAAGTTCTGATATAGAGGGCTTAATCGAATGTGTTAAGTTACTTCCTCAGTCGCCTGTTGATAGACCTCAGGAATCTATAAATTTTAACAAGAGCGATCATAGTAGTAGTAGAACGACAAAATTTGAGAAGAAAGAAATATCCGTATCTTCAATGCTTGATCAAGGAGGTCCGTCACTGGTCAATATACTAAAATCTGAGAAGAAAGCAGGAAGAAGCACAGATTCTCTCAATTACCCCTCCATGGTTGAAAAGAATGGCATAGAAGGTCCATTCACGAAACTTCTTGGAAATCTGAATATCTTGGATCAGGAAACAAGTTGTTCTGCTGCCCTTCACTGTAACACATCAAATGCACAAACACATGTTCTACCTCTGAGAGACAATTGTAATCCGAATAAGACACTGAATGCAACTTCTCTTCTGAAGGAGTCTGATCAAAACAAAGTGATAGTGAGGTTTTTGCCAAGAATGGTTGTATGTGAAGACATCATTGGTGCCTTCAAGGATTATGGGGATATTTCAAAGGTTGAAATTCCGGGTACTGAAGATGCTTTCTTTAAGGCTGCCTATGTTTATTTCAGGGTAAGTTCTTCATATTTGCCATAATTTGGAATTCTAATCCTACTTTCCTTACATTACATACTAATTAATATTTTGAAGCCAACTGGGAAAGCTGAGTTCTGAAGTTGGGCTGCATTTATTGCTTGTTAATTCCCATTTTCTGATCAACATTTTGGTGCTATTGTAGTCGGATGAAGGAAAGAAGAAAGCACTTGAAGGAACTGATGTGAAAGTGGGAAGTCGAACAGTAACTGTGGAGGCAGCTTCTTCCTTGAAGGATGTGACGAGGAAATCCATTCCTAATTTAATCGGCCTCCCAGATGTTCCCACTGCCCTAGTAAAGAATCCCAAGCGAACAGTTCTGATTAAGAATTTGGCTCGTGATACAAGGCCTCATCATATTGAAGACGCTCTTTATTTCTGCAAAAGCAAGATATCTCGATTTTTCTTGGGTTCATCAAGATCTGTTGCTTATGTGGAATTCGAGGTTAGTTTTTTTGTACTTTAGCAACTTGCATTGGAATCTGTCATCATCATTTCGCATTTACTTTTGAGAGAATTGAAGTGTTTAGCCTTCATTATAACTGGAACTGCTTTCTGACAGACAGAAGAGGGTAAAGAAAATGCTCTTACAAGACACTCGATCAATGTACTGCAAAGGAGATTACAAATCTTTAGAGTGGATGTCCCGAGAACTACAGTTGTAAGAATTTCAAACGTGGTCTCCATACCAATTAGAAAAGTGATCGCCCTTTGCAAATCCTTTGGAAAACTCAGGGGCGTTTCGCATAGAAGTGAAAACATAAAGGATGTGCACTTCAATCTTGCTGAATGGCCCAACATGGCAACGATTTTAAACAGGTAATTCCACACATGCCCTTTCTCTTCCCCCTCGTTTTTTTTTTTCTTTTTTTTTGAGTACTACTGACTCTGTTACAATGCAGTATCTGTTCATAACGGTCCTAGTTTCTTAAGTCACCTTTGTTCTTCATATTCCTAGACTGAACGGGTCTCAAATAGATGGTCAACGGTTAGTAGCACAACCGGCACCTGTGTATCCCCCAGATGTTCTTCTCGCTCTATGGAGTCAGCCAGAAGGGAGACGACATTTAAGAAGCTCAGTTCACAATCTGCTTATAAAGCTCAGGGAAAACGATCCAAGTGAAGCTGAAACTGCAGAACTCGTAAACAGTCTTTTTGAAGACACAGTAGAAATTTAATCTAAACTGTAATAATACCTTTTATCTCATCAAACATCTGGTTTATTTAGTTATACTGTCATCTCGATCGTCTCGTCCTAACCTTTCTCCTTTAACAGATAACTCTCTGGCAGGGCTGCTCTAACCACATGTCTGCATGATATTTTTGGACAATGTAAGATAGAATCAAAGGTGATTCATTCTTTTTTTGTTTTTTTTTTTTTGTTTTTGTTTTCGAAAACTACTAGGACTTCATTAGCCTTGGTATGAACATTAATGTGGTCTATTGATGTTTATTGATCATACAGAGAATAACAACAATTCTTTATACTAAAACACAATGATAAAAAAGATATTTAGAACTTTAGAATAATTGACAAATCTGCAGCCTTAAATTAAGACTTTTGAGGATACCTTTTAGGCTTTCTCCTCTTCACTGTCAATGATAGGGAAAGAATGATCAATATGCCCTTGATAAGATTAAATATATAGAGGATAAATATACTCGATTTAGAATAATGCTCGAATGAATTTAAACTTTGTTTTGATATTCTGATAATATGTCTTCAATAATATTAAGGAATTAATCTCGATACCTCTTATAGAGAATCTCAAACATATGTCACTAGACTACAATGTTCTTGCCTCCTTGGCGCATACACTCCATGTCCAATTGTGCATACAATATGAAGAAAGTTGGACAGAAGTATAAATTGCAACCATGGCACTGTCCAAGGTTCCATGGTGTAGTGGTTAGCACTCTGGACTTTGAATCTAGCGACCTGGGTTCGACTCCCGGTGGGACCTATTTGCAATGTCTAAGTATAATTTGCTCATCCTTAATTATATTTTATGTTGTTTGGAGTGTATATATACCTTGTTGGCTAATACATTCCACAAATATATATTCTTAGTGATGAATACATTATTGAAGGATTTAAACTCAATCTTTAAACCAAGAAAGGCTTATGCTTGATCATCAAGCTTAGAAGGGCTTGGACTTTATGTTGGAGCTTGACTCAATTAACTTGTAGTCCGATTAAACATACGATATAATCAAGTTTATGAACTTTTAATTCAAAAAGAGTAAAATATTTATTATTTTTACAAATCTGGTATATTTGACGTGACTTGCATGCAGTTTAATTCAACACAAGTTAATAATATGAGTAGATTCGAACTCATATATAACTAAATATTCTGATCTCAAAGTTCTTACCACTTAAATAAGATCTTAAAGTTCTTACACGTCTCAAAGGCGGCCCCCAATTGTTACTCAAGAAATTCTTTAAGAAAATCTATTTACTGTGCCAGTCTGTCGCATGGTTCTCTGTGATGGTAAAGCGGTGCTCTGATCTTTACTTTTTTATTTTTTGGGTCACCCTCGATCTTTTTGGTCTAAAAAAATTATTAATTTTACCAATTTAATAATATTAGCTTCTCAAAATATTAACTTATTATGTGCAATGCTCAATATATATATATATATATATATATATATTACCTAAATTAAGGTACTAAACATATTCTTTGAAGATATATATCATAAACCAAAAAGCAGCATTTAAGCTAGCCGGCCAATCTTGAAGGATGAGATGGATCGGAACAAGAATCTCATGCATTAATGCATTATATATATATTTCAATCTAAACAAGCTAAGGAATTTTACCCACTTTGAAGCTACCCTTTCTAATAATATATAAACAATTATTTGTTATTCTCTATATTATATGGTTTTGGCATCATTTCTGGTCCTTTAAATTGAAGGGCAGAAGGTATATATTATAGTGAGGGGTGAGGCATGAAAGAAGAGAGTGGGAGATCAATGGACATTAGTATAAAGGATTTGGCTAAGCAGCTTGAAGATTTTGCAAAGGTTAGAGACTGGGAGAAGTACCACAGCCCTAGAAACTTACTGCTAGCTATGGTAATTTTTTCTTTTCTTTTCTTATTTTCTCTTAATTTTGATTTAGTTAAAACCGTTACTGGAATGTGCGTTGTGGGTGAAACTCGTTTTGTAGCCCTAGCTGACAAATAGCTATATGTGTATTGAGTACGTATATATAGTTTCATTATTATCGTCGTTATGAACTTTTATCTGAGAAGAAACACATCGATCATTGGATTGTGTGCAGGTGGGTGAGGTGGGAGAGTTGTCAGAAATATTCCAGTGGAGAGGGGAAGTGGAGAAAGGATTGCCAAATTGGGAGGAATCAGAGAGAGAGCATCTTGGGGAAGAACTGTCTGATGTGCTTCTTTACCTCATCAGGTTGGCTGATATATGTGGCATTGATCTTGCAAATGCTGCCACCAAAAAAATCCTCAAGAATTCCATCAAGTACCCACCACCCCCACCCCCCAACAACCTCTGACTTTCATGCATGTCTCCTAGTATCATAATTTACGTTAGACTAATCTAAGTCTCTAGTGTCTCTGTTCAAGAGTCGTTGGAAGACGAGTCGACGACTAAAGGATCTTCATTATCTTATTTGAGCAGTTAGGATCTTTCAGTTGGAACAAGACTTTAAGGTGATCAGTTGAACCAACTGAGTGTCTACCAAGTTTTTCTAGGTTTTTGTCCATCATCACCACAGAGAATCTTTCATCTTTATGTCATCATGATGAAAATTAAAGTATGCCCTAATGCTTTTCTTGGTGCATGTACTCAAATATATTCATGAAATAAATTCTCATTTAATTTTATCCTATTCTCTTGAAGCTTCCACCTTTGATTCCTTAATAAATTAAGCATCTATTCCAGATTCCAAATATTATATTGACGAGATCTCTCGTTCCGGAGGGCTCTTTATACCTTGGCCCGACATGATTGTGGAGAGAGGTAAACCACGACAAATTAGTGACTTATTAGATGAGAGCATCATATCGGATCGATCAGTGTCGTGCTCACAATTAGAGGGTGAAACTTCTACAACTGTCAGGGTTCAATCATGTGTCTTTGCTTACAAAAGAACCAATTGAGTTATCCATGTTGGCTCCAAAAATATTATATCTTTACTTTATTTAAAACAGTAATGATTCATAAATTGTGAATATGAGCTTGAGATGGGTCTTGAAGACTTGGAAGATTTTGATGAAAATTAAAGATTTTGATAACTACAAAGTTAAAGTGGACGACATTGATTCCTACGTGCAATTGAATTTTCTATTTAAAAACAAAAGTTTCAATAACGACGTATCGTAAATCAACAAAGTAGTTCTGTTAGATCATAAAGTTATATATTCGTCGGCAAATTACTATTTTATGCTTTTTCTAAATATACACTTCAATTACCAAGACTATGTGATCTAATGGTATCCGGGTTGGACTTCCATTTGGAAGATTATGAGTTCGAGCCTCAGTGGAGGCGTTATTGGTTCTTTGTGTTTCAGTAGGTTGAGAAAGTATATGAACAGATACTACAATGTAATAGAACCCCAGTAGCTTTCAAAAAAAAAAATATACACTTCAATTTTTTAACCTTTTCTTCAGAAACAACCACTAATTGAATGGTTGTGTCATCGAAAGAAAAAGAAAAAGAAAAACAAAATATATATATATATACCCAAAAAAAAAAAAAATACATATTTTCCATTATATTATGAACTGCCACCCGATTCCTCCTCATCTCTAGTCATTGCAATCCCAGGTACTTTCTTTCTTTCTTTCTTTCTGCATTTTTTTGTCCAATGACTTTAACTCAAATTCATGGTGAAAAAGAAAAACTCAAATTCATGGTGAAAGTGATTAATTTACCGTGTTTTAACTCGTGATGGGTATGTTATTTTAGCAATGACGAATGAATATGAACGTTCTTGATTTGATACAAATAACATTATTTTTCTATATGTCAATGTTCATTAGTTGTTACATGAATTCTATGTTTTCAGTTTCATTAATTCTTTGTCAAATATGAATGGATTTTTTGATCATTCTTGATTGATCTGTGGGGATTTGATTGCAAATTAAAAGTGGGAGTGTAACAGGAAATTAAAAAGATGGAAGGTGGAACAGTGTTTTCCCCAGCTCTGGAAGGAATGAAGCATGTCAAGTCTGAAAATGGTGACTTGCTCACCAAGCAATTCCTAGATGTCTGCAAACTCATCTTGCCTATCCTAGGTATCTTTTGTTTTCAATCAATATAATCTGTGGTTGATGTAATTAAAAAACTAGGTTTTAATCCTAGTCCCTCCAAAATTTATCTGACTCCCTTTCAAATCTCTGCTGCCAGATAAATTTGGAGCTGCCATGGCTGTGGTGAAATCTGACATTGGTGGGAACATTTCAGTAAGAAATGCTTTTTTCCTTTTCAGTTTTAGCATACTATAAGTTTTTCGGGGCAACCCAACCAAGCTGGTCGGACAATTAGTTTGGTAATCACGAGACTTTCTGTTGGCCTTCTTGGTTTGAGCTGACCTGCTATGGGCAACGTAAACTGGTTTACCTAGTCCTCTGTTGGCTAGGGTCATAAGAGACTTCACTCAAAGGGCACCTTCGGGTGGCCTTCTTCGAGACGGTCAGCTATAGACAACCTAGACTCTGCCAGCTAGGGTCACAAGGCAGGCGGGTTTTACTATGAACATATTTTCGGGTAGCAGCCGTGGGTTGTCCCATAAATCGAAGTATAAGTTTTTCAGTATGGAAACTTTGTTTTACTTTGAGCACTTTTTGACAGTAAAACCTTTAATTTAGTTCTGCTGTGACATTAAGATGTAAAATGATTTCTTGACACAAATCTGTTTCCTGGCAGAGGTTGGAATCGAAATATGGGACGAATCCAACCAGATTCAACTACTTGTACAGTTTCGTACAGGCAGAAATCGAAACAAAAACTGCAAAATCATCATCCAGTTGCACCAATGGTCTTCTCTGGCTCACAAGGTCCTGCAAATCCTTTCTTCTGCCTATTCACACAACTTCATCATTCCCAGTTTCTTCATAGAACTTTAACCATATAATCCCCGCGCTTTTGTTGATGCTGCAGAGCAATGGATTTCATCGTGGAGCTGTTTCGCAACCTGGCTCTGCATCAGGACTGGTCTATGTCACAAGCCTGCACTGATTCCTACTCCAAGACCTTGAAGAACTTTCATGGTTGGCTCGCGAGCTCAAGCTTTTCGGTACATTCTTGATGACTGCATTGTATTATATATCCGATAAACCAGCTTTGATTGTCAAGCTAGATAGGTTGCTTGTTTGTCTATGTGAATTGAAGCATGTGCTCCATCTCAACTAAAAGTCTAAGCTGATAGTTGCTCTGATACCAAATTGAAGCATGTGTTCCATCTCAACTAAAAGTCTAAGCTGATAGTTGGATTGCACATTTATGTTTATATATATTATATGCTCAACAATGTGAAATGTATGAAATTTTAAGGTTGCAATGAAGCTTGCACCAGATAGGAAGAAGTTCATGGAGGTGATGGGTGGAAGTGGGAACATCAATGCGGAGATGGAGAAGTTCTGCACAACGTTTTCACCAATACTTCAAGAGATCCACAAATTTTTGGTAAGATCAAAGGTTTTTCAAGCTCCTTCGAGTTATATTCTTGGGATCGGAAAATGGTATATTTGGTCCGTAAGTTATATCCTAGATATGAATCAATCCTTTAATTATTGTTATGTCTATTTTTGATCCTTCAGTTAATTATTTTGGAGTTAGCGGTTTTGGTCTTTTTTCATTAATACTCATTAGTTTTGGACCCAAAAAAAAAAAAGCCTAAATGGTAGGGGATATATATAGAAAATTGATTTCTTATCACATTAAAAATTGAACTGTCACCGTATCCGAAGTTGGCCAAGCTATTGACTTTGTAATCATAAGGTTACAAGTTCGACCCCAACAGAAACGGCTTATTGGTCATCTTGGTTTAAGCCATAGGCCAGTTATGGGTAACCGGCTGATTTATCTCGTGGTTCATTGACGGCTAGAATCTCAATGTACACGCTCAGGTAGTAGCTCCGAGTTTTCATCATCACTCGAAAAATGAATATTTATTCGTCGTCCCCCTTGTAATATGGGTCATGGTCCACAATATAATTTGCCAGATAAGTATAATGTTATTAAATTTGTTTGTTTTATATATATGATAAATGATATTTTGGTGCAGGCCAGCGTTGGCGTGGACGATATGAAAGCTTCATGATGGACTTCATTATTTTCTTCTTCAAGTAGACATTTAATTTTATTCTAGCTAGATCCATTTTATATTCATTGGGCTTCTATTTTATTGAAATATTCTAGAATACTATATGATATGATACTTTGTAAAGAGCAAAATAGGTTAATAACGTCAAATGAAAATATTGGATATTTGTTAATTTGAATATATTTGCTATTTTTGGACCATGATATCATGTCGCACAATATTGTAGAGGGTTATTATTGTCAAAATAGTTACCTAGGAAACAACTTTAATTTATTATCTACATTTTCCCATGCTTGTGTAGTCTCATTCCAATTGAGTCTTAAATATTTTATATGTAAGATTGAAAAGATTGTTTTATTAGTGATTTCGTTCTTTTATTTGTGTATGTGTTTATATATATACACGCACATATACAACACGCACACATACGATATCTGAGAATGCTTAGCTCAAAACTGTTTAATATGACACACATGAATGAGTTAATCTTCCATCCTTATAGTTATATTAATTTATTAGTGTTGCTTTTTTATTTTCAAGTCAACTAGAAATTAAAAATGAACCAAACATCTAAATTAGAGTAATTAGTCAATTTCATAACGAACTAACCCGAGTTGCATATAGCCCAGGCTTGGTGCATAGCACACTCCAAAAATTCGACCAAAATTTTAAAATAAAATTTATTATAAAATCTTATTTCAAATTTATTCTTACTATTATTATTTTTATTGTTATGCATGTGTCACATTTTAAAAATGAAAATTTTATTATTTCACTTTTATGTCAACCTTCTTTATCATGCAACAGTTTTTAAAGAAGGTTAATTAACATATAATGTTGCATGATATTTTTTTACAAAATGTGTCACACACTTTTATAAAATAATATGCTAACCGTTTTTGTGTGTGTGTGTGTGTCACATTTTAAATAGTGTGACACACACTCAAAATGTGTAACATATAATGTTGCATGATACGTTTTGCAAAATGTGGCACATACTTTTATAAAATTATATGTTTAATAATCTTCTTTATGTGTGTCACATAGTCAATAGTGTGACACACACTCAAAATGTGCAACATATAATATAACGTTGAATGATATATTTTTGCAGGCCTATATATGAAAGCCTCATGGTGGACCTGATTATATTCTTCCTCAATTATGAATTTTATTGCAGAACCATTTAACATTCACTATAGGGTTTCTCTTAAATTCACCTAAATTAGTAAATTCTAATGGGAAGTTCTAAAACACTATATATATGATGTGATCATGTGATACTATGTAAAGGGTAAAAATGCATGGGTGAATAACATCAAGTAAAAATATTGTTTCTTGTTAAGTTTGAGTTAGTACTTTGGATAGTTGTATTATTTTTGAGCTATCATGTCATATGATGTTGTAAAAAGTTAATTATGATCAACAAAAATCAAATTCTTTCTATATATCTTTCTGTAAATCAAAGTATCAAACATTATTAATAGTGCAACCCCCATCCGATTTGGTCACACATTTAATTTAATAACCACAAAGTTTCAAGTTCAACTTTTTATGAGAGACATTTATTGACTTCCGTTAAGCTATATATGACAACGTATTTAAACATTATTCAACCCACGTTTTTTTTATTGATAATTGATATGGTCGTCCAAGAGCCAACATGTTGAGAATGGTGACCAATAATGTTATGTGGTTGTAATGACAATCTCACCGAGACCAAGTTGCTTCTGTATTGACTCCATATGTCCATCACATTCATTATCTACATAAAGCAACTTAGGTGGGTGGGTATGTAACTATCAGGGTGCATATGACAATCTGTCATGACTATATATATATATATAAGATTAAGAATCTTTTGATAACAGTATCATAGAAGAGAAATAAGAATCAATTTTAGATTTACATCTGTAAAAATTTGACATGTCTGATCAGTCCCTAAGTTATGGTTCTTATGCCTACAATTGAAGGTTTTTTTCTTCCCCAAGCTCTGAAATCTCCCACTTCCGTTAGATATAAGAAGAAAATAATGACGGTTGAGCAATGAGTTTCAACATAAGAAGGAGATTATAATTTGAAATTCCTATTTTAACCCTCTATTATTAAATTGTTTTTAAGTTTTCCGTTAGCTGCAGATAAAACATCAACGCTAGGGATCAAACTCGCCACTTTGCTCATAACTGAGAGACTAAACTCGGATACTGCCATAACTTAGGGACTGAGTCAAAACTTGGTTATAACTCAGGGACTAAAGATGCAATTTTTCTAACTTGAAAACTTAAATATGCAATCTTTAACAACTAAATATGCAAACTTGATAAATTTTATAAAATCAACGAAAAAGTTAAATTTTAAATCTAAATTGTAAATGCTAGACTTTAAGCAGCAAAAAGTGAACCACTAAACCAAATAAAACTAAAAACTCATGTCAAACTCTAAAATCGAAAGCCTAAAAGTAGAATGCACTTTTGCAAGTGCAATCTTTTAATACTAAATAAACAAAATGTTAATACTTAATGTGCAAAATGTTAATGTTAAATGTAGCGCAGCAAACTTGAAAAAGTATGAAAATTGCAGATTTTAGTGTTCAAGTTTGCATAATAAAATTGATGATAATTATGAAAATGTCATCATATTTTTATAAAAACAATTGATATGATCCGTCCAACTTCTGCAGATTCAATATATATATATATATATTAGTTGCATGCATGCCACATATTATAAGGCCAGGATTGACCAAAATATATATCTTTGAAGCCCTCATGTTTTGTTGATGTCATAGCAGTATACTTTTTCTGCTGGACCATAACTTTTTTATTTTTTAAGCAATGATTTTCACTTATACTATGTACTACATGCTTGCGGCTTGTCGACTTGTCGTAACCTTTTCACAATAATTAACAGCCGTCAGATAATAAATAAATAAATAAATAAATAAGTCAACTTACTAGTTACTATTTGGTCGAAAAGTCAGCTCACCACTTGGTCGATGATCACAAGAAAAATAGTTATAAATTCTATACATAAATAAATATTTGAGATGTTTTATGGTGTCAATAATACTAATTATAAATTTATAACAAAATGTACTATTTTTGTTATATAGGATATTACAAGAGTATCGATCAGTGATGGTATTATTAATATTCAATATAATTATATATTTTTTAAAATGTGAAGCCTTAGCTTATGATTCTAACTCTTAAAGGATTATGTGGAGGTAAATTTATCTTTTCTGTCAAATGACTACAAAGATGTTGACTCAAATCGAGAAGCTAGATCAATAAGCAATTCTCATAAATAAAATCTTATGATCATTAAACTAATTATTTTCCAACTAATTTGACTGATTTCTACTAATTTATTTCTTATAATTAAATAACTTGTTGATCCAATGACCCTTAGCTTGTGGCATAAACCGACTTCATGCCCCTAAAAGACAATAAGACATAATAGAATTAGGGGTTACGTTTGTGTGAGACCGTGTCATGAATTACGATCCGTGATACGGATCAGGTTAATATGAAAAATGTAATACTAATAAGAAATAAAGTATTTGTTACTCATAAGGGAAATTGTAATATTTTTTTAGAACAAATGTAATACTTTTAATCAAAATGTAAAAGTATTATATATTTTTTGTTCAAAAATATTATATTTTACCATATAAGTATATTATATTTTTTCAATATAAATATTACATTTGATATTGACCCGATCCGTCTCACAAAAAGAATCCGTAAAACGGTCTCATACAAAATTTTGCCCAAAATTAATTTTTTTTTTAAATTTAATATAACTGCTATAAGATAATATATTATAAACATATTAAACATTATTATGCATCCGGATTTGGTGAATGCGTACTAATCTCAAATCATGTAATTAATGCAATTGTTTCGTCACAAAAAAATTTGTCTATTTTTTAGTATGGCACGAAATATTACTTATTTATTTCATTTGTATAAAAAAAATACTCATTCCGTCCTATTTTATTTGTCTGATTCGATTAATGAGGCTTGATTGAAATTAATTAATTTTTTATAATATTAAGTTTAGTATTAGTATATAAAATTTATATATTTAGAAACTACATTAAAAGTACTATTAAACACAAAACAAAATCAAATTTAAAAAATTAAAATTACAAAAGAAAAAAGTTGATTTGACCAGTAAATAGTAATTAAATAGGACAGAGGGAGTAGTGATTTTAGTTAATGGTGCATAAATTTAACCCTAACGTCAATGATCATTAGAGATGGCAATTAATGTGGGTTAGACCTACTTGGGTTGGCATGGCCCAACCCACATAGGTTGGTTGAAGATTAAAGTCATAACATAAGACACAAAAAATCATAATATAAGATATATACATATGTTATATATTTATTTATTTTTTATATTTAATTTAGATACATAATTTATGTTTATAGATATAGAATTTTACAATACAAGACACAAAAATTCATAACACACGACATAATTATTAATTTTTCACATTAGCTAAAAAAATCAATTTTTGGGTGGGACAACAATACAACACGGAAGTTAATTGGACCTATGAATGCATATTATATTGTTTTGACAAGATATAAATGTAAGCGAGTTGTTCATAATTATTAATGCGAGTTGTTCACATGAATTAGGTAATAGCTCACCATTATGTCATTCGTTTAACTCTCCAATGAACCTCACAAGCCTAGTACGTGGAAAATGCTAGTTGCGTTTAGGAGAGAAATTTTCTATTTTTATAAAGCAATAAAAAATTATTGTTACAAAAATAAAAATATATATGTTTATTTGTATTAATATTCAATTTGAAAATGAAAAGTTAGAGAATTGAAGTATATTTCTATAGGAAAGTATTACTTTCACAAGTCGCAATTGTATCTTTCAGTAATTGGCCATCACCCACTACCACTAAATCAACGACTCTAAGTTGGTGTTACATATGTTTTTTTTTTTTTTTTTTTTTTTTTTTTAAGTCTTTATTGATATATTTTTATAACTATTTTTAAAGTTCACGGAATAAATCAAACTTAAAATCTTACAATTCTTAGGTCAAGTGTTGACTAAGTCGGCTAAGGCTGCCCACAATTTTGAAGGCTCTTAAATAATAGGATGTGGATATTCACCATATTTTTATTCAAATTAATCGCCTTCATGGCTTGTCAAATCTAATTAACTTATACACCAATTCATATGTGCAGGATTCCTTTTCTAAATTATAAATGAGATAATGATACCACTCAATCAAATATTATTCATTTTATAATTATAATTATATATATATATATATATATATATGTAGGAATGATGTTATGATTTCTTTAAAGAAAAAGTAGAAAAAAAAAAAAGTTGGAGCCCCAGAGTTTGTATGCTAGTAAGTACAGTTAGTATATTGTGTTATAAAAATACAATATTACAATTTCTTGATATTTATAATAGTATAAGATTTCAGTTAATATGGGTTGAGTTGGTACGTTACTCAATCTATATTATTACTTAAAGAGAATTAAATATTTTTTACTTGTCAGGGAACGCAATTATTTTAAAATCATAAGAGACTGTTTTGTTACTCTTTTAATTGACAAAATTTATAGTAAAAGTAAAATTCGAAAAAAAAAAAAAAAAACTTTTCACTTAGAATGAGGGATTATTTTTGTGCATTTAATTGCATCTTAACAAAAAGTCAAAAACAAATACATTCAATCAAAGTGGGGATACCAAGCCTATTAGGTTTGTTCCCTTAAAGGGACACCCAACCCTAATGTACCAATAAGTGATTTTTTTTTTCCATTTAAGTGATATTGCTCCACCTAACCAAACAAGTGATTTGACATTTTTCAAAGTAACATTTTATACTGTACTTTGATTTATTATATTGAAATCTACCGTTATTATTTAAATGTGTATTTTGAGTGAAATTTGTCTTATAATTTTAATTAATAAAGAGCTACAAAAAGATAATTTATTTTTTTTTTATAATTGACTGACTCAAATAAAAAAAAAAAAAACTGATAAACAACTTTTACAAGAAATTGAACGTTTAATACTTATATCAAGTAAAATTAGAACTGTGACATTATTATAAAATATAGATCTCTATCAGCTAGCCAAGTAACTGGTCCTAGCACTTAAAGAAATCAAATTTCAACATAATATTTTCATTAATTTATTGAAATTAATCCATCTGCAATTTCTTGTAGAAGGTTCTTGAAGTACAAAACTAAACCATTTTGCAATAATTTTTTTTTTTAAAACCATTTTGCAATAATTAATTTCTTCTACAAGTCTCTTGAGTCTTGACGTGTATGTCTAGGCATGGAAACTTGGCAAATTTCTTGTGTTTGCAGCCTAGATTATACCAATAATTGAAGATTATAAGTTTTTTTTTTTTTTTTTAATTGAACCAATAATCCAAAACCATGGGAATCCAAAGCACCATTGTATTTTCTACAACTAACTTAACCAAATCCTTGGAATATGTTAACCACCATAACAATTAACAAACCTCATTATCATCACTATCACACCCTTCCAAATGCAGACGTAAATTGTGACAAGTATTATAATTAATTAACTATATATGTATATGATTACACATTACCATTTATGCCATGAAGATTGATAGAGGAAATAATTAAATCATTAAATTCATACCTATTTTTTTTTCTTTGGTCATCTTTGGTAGGATTATATTCGAACTTATATCTATACGGATAGGTCAGTTGGTCTCAAGTGATAAATTGTTGACAGTAACTCAGAATTAAGATTTAGGAGCTACAGTGTGAGAGTCACACCTAATGTGGTAGGCATCGACCAAACACTGGTTCTTCCACCTAAGAGGTTGCGAAGTCATCGCAATTTATCCTTCCAAGTTCCACCATCTTGTCGGACTAGGTTGAAAAATAATGTTGCCTTTTACGGGCAAGGATTCAAACTTGCACCCTACAAGAGCTAGCAAATTAAATCAAAGTCTCACAGTTTATTTTAAATTGATTGATCAGTTAAACTATGCCCCGAGACAATAAATAGAAATGTTGAATTGTAGCTTTAGGGTATCTAATGTACTGTTTGTTATAAATAGTAATGATTGTGGACATTATTATGTAACGGTTTCCTTTATGTCTCCATTATTGTATTCCGTTACACTTGTTATTATATATATGTCATTCTAATGTAATGATCATAGGTGTGGTATAAAGGAATAAGAAACCCTCTATTTTGTCTCTACTCTTCTTCTTGTTCTTACTGTTCTTCACGAGCTAAAGGCCTGCAAACAAACTTGCAATACAACACGTTATCAGCACGCTCAATCCAGGTGAACGGTAACTTTTATGAGTTTTTTATGCCTTATTATTTTCCGTGTTATATATTGATGGTAGAGTCTACACAAACAGGTATATATAAAATGCATTAAAGAATTGAAATGTGAAAGAAAGAGAAATATTTAAATATTGGAAATAAGTGCATATATTAATACAATTTCTAAGGGTGGTTGACGGCTTAGAATCAAGTGGAGTAATTAAGCTGGCCCATAAGGTGACAAGTTGGTACTTTGTTATACATTTTGTTAATATTTATTTACAAATAGTAATTTAAATGATTTACTTCCCCCGTTCTAACATGATTTATAGTACATCTGATCTAAATCTATTAAACAAAATAATTTCTAATTCAAAAACACTTAATTATATGCAGTGAATATTTTTATTATCCCTACAAATTCACAATATTATAAATTTATAATCTACTCTATGCATCATACGGATAAAATACTCGAATAGTTTAATTTTAGTAGATAAAAAATTTATATATTTACAATTTATATATATAACAATAATATATTTGAATTTTTAAAAAATCGCACCTCCTAAATGGGTAGGAATTAAAGTGAGAATTGTCCATAATTTAATGTTATATGGTTGTTCACGCACATATTACTTTAGTGATCCAAAACGGCACTTAAGTCTTAAATGCTAACAAGATACCTCTAGAATCATTATATCGGTGGATTACTGACATATAATTTCATTTTTAGCATACTAGAAGTTACTTAATCTATTTTTATTGTTTTCCTTACCTACTTCTGTACTACTTGAGAGTGCGCTCGCCATCTCCACATCCTGGACCAACATCGTAACAACTTATGCTTATCCTCTTCGCCCGTCCGCCATTATAGCATCATGGGCTCGTTTTTGCCAACATAGGCATATAAATATCTTTCCTCGCCTTACGTCACCTGACTCACCTCTGAGCTTATCTCGAAATTCTCGCACACCGTCATATCTCTTTATTTAGAGGAAATAACATTTTCGATTCTCTAATATAATCAACTCAATACATGTCAAGAAATTTGTAATATAGTAGCATAAAATTGAGACTTTCTACATGAAGTCTTGAGATCAATTTTATGTATCAAAAGTGAGCGTTAGCATCAAACAAGTTTATGAGACCGTGAAAACTTAAAAATATATTTTAAAATTTTGAAAGGTTGTACAGAGTCTTTTAAATACAAAAATACTTTAATTTTCATGCATTATTATTGAGCACATAATATATAAAATATAAACGTATAGTCCAACTATATATCATCTTACGCTTTTATAAAAGAACATAAATTTAACCAATCGAAAAAACATTCTATTGCATTGTATAAAATATAAACATGCAGATAAACTATACCTTCATATATATAAAATATAAATAAATATGCAAATACACAATACCTTCACATATAAAATATAAATAAATATCACTATACCTTGAATCCTTGATACATACATATAAAATATAAATGAATATGCAGATACGCTACACATTCATATACAATACACCTGTCATTTTCATTCTTATTTATTAGATTTAATTATTAAAAAAAAAAAAAAAAAAACTCCCCTGCCTCCATGCAGATACCGACAAGAAAACACAATCACCCCTATAAATTGTCAAACAATTTGTTGTGAATTTTTGTAAAAATAAAAAAAAAGGGAGAAAAGAGCGAGAGAAAGGATTTGAAGAAGGAAGATGGAGAGTAATTGTCATCCTTTACTGAGGGGAGGGAGAAGAGAAACCAAGTACAGTCATGGGGTTCCTTCATCTGAAATGGAGGCACTGACTAGTATTTGTGAGGCCTTTTTGCCCCCTCTGCCATTGGGTTCTCTTGAAATCCCAGAAAGATGTGATCTTGATGCCCAAACCGTTGAACACTTCCATGAAGCTTGTGGCTCTCAGTATCCTGTTCCTGATGAGGTGAATATTTTCTTGATTTCAGGAATTTCAATTGCCGACAGAAATCGAGTAACTCAGTTAGTTTCTGGGTGCCTGATCGAGTCTTGACAATCGCAGTAAAATAGCTTCTTGAATGGGCTATTGAGTTAGCCTTCCAAAATCTTGTCGGTTGGGGTGTGGGGCCAGGGCAAGAAATTGGATGGGTGTCAAAAAAGCTAAATAGAAGAAAATTTGTGTTGTTTTATAGTTTTTGGTTTTAAGTAATGATATGGGTTTCTTGAATTGCAGGTTGCAGAAATGATTATGAAAAGGGGGTTCTTTGAGGCTGTGATCTTGGTGAGAGGGCTATTGAAGGTTCTTTCAACTAGGCTGGGAACACTTCTGCTCTGTGGGTTTCTCTGTCTTGGGGACAAATGGCCATATGTTAACAAATTCTCAGACATTCCTGTGGAGAAAAGAGCCACTGTAATTCAGAAATGGTACAAGAATAGCCTTCTGACTCCTGTCAGATTAGCTTTTGTGTTTGTCAAATTCTTGTGTTTCTATGTGTTCTTCACCCAGGTACAGTACTTTCCCTATATCTAACAGCTTACAATTCTCTTCACATGGTTTTAGAACCCTGTTTTGTTTTCTAAATTGTTTTCCTTGCATCTTTGTAGTTGTTGTTGTTAGGTGGTGGTTGGTTTTTTTTTTTTTTTTTTTTCTTTTTTTTTCAGTGCATAGTAACATCATGTGTCAACATCCAACCATTGCAGTCTTTTTCAGTTTGTGCATTTATTCTTGAATGGTAGATTGTGGGCAAGAACACAGAATCGAGTTCTGACAGTCGCAGTGTGAGAGTTTCACCCTTTTTGTAAGGGTGGCTCCTTGTCGGCATTAGGCATTGGTCCTCCCACTTAATGGCCGGTTGTAATTTTTCCTTCAGGCTAGGATGTGAGACCCCAGGGAGAGAAATTTCGTCTTTTGTGGATAAGTCTTTTCTAATTCTAGAATGTCATTTTTATTTGCAGTGTAGCATTTATGATATGTAACCACTCAAGGCTTTCCAACTAACTAATTAATCTTTTCACTTCAATTAATGGGAATGAAAGCCGTCTATCCAATCATAAGTTGTATTGGCTTTCTTATATCTTTCTTCTTCTTCTTCTTTTTTAATTCATTTTTATTCTTGACAAGTGTGGATATATACAGAACTGATAATTACAGATAACATATGTCAAATTTGGGAACCCATTCAACAGCATTTATGACTATCCTAACTATATGATGATTTACAGTATGGGTTTTTTCTGTGGATAAGAAAAGAGATTTACAGTTTTCTGTTTCTGTGGACTATAGATTTGATCTAAAAGTTTCATGTTTGTAGCAATTGAGTGAATGATTAACCGAAAACGCCTTATGTTTCAGCATTGCTAGTCTGTTCTGTTGATCGGTTTAATTGGAGATAAAGATCATGCTTTTTCTATGATTCTAACTACCCTTTTGAGCCAACTGTAGTTTTACATGTTTAGATGTCATAATTTTAGCCTGGTTTTGGGAAGAAAAAACTCAAAAAAGTTGTTTTTTTGGTCATATATAGGTTGGTGTGGACTTGAAAAATCCAGCATGGGATGCTGTGGGATATCGAGTGGATGGTGATGATAATGATGATGATGAGAAGTCGTCGAAGAAGTCTGGTGAGGAAGAGAAAGAAAGGCCTCTTGAGAAAGGGATAGTAGAAACCAGAAACGAAACCGAATGTTCAGTGATCAATTCCCTTGTTAAGAAAGGCCTAAAAGCGAGAGAAGATCCTGTAAAGAATCAGATAAAGATTGAGTGTGATGTTGTGATCGTTGGGTCGGGGTGTGGTGGGGGGGTGGCTGCAGCTGTTCTTGCGGGTTCAGGGCAGAAAGTGTTGGTGCTCGAGAAAGGGAACTATTTCACGAGCTCCGATTATTCTTCCCTGGAAGGGCCTTCCATGAATGAGTTGTATGAAAATGGTGGAATCCTCCCAACTCTTGATGGGAAAATGATGGTTTTGGCTGGCTCTACACTCGGTGGTGGCTCGGCTGTTAACTGGTCGGCCTGCATCAAAACGCCCAAGTCCACGATGCAAGAATGGTCTAAGCATCACAAGATCACGCTCTTCGCTAGCCCCCAGTACGTTTCTGCAATGGATAAAGTGTGTGAAAGACTCGGTGTCACAGAGAATTGCCCCGAGGAGGGGTTCCAGAACAAGATTCTGAGAAAAGGGTGTGAAAATCTTGGACTTGAAGTTGAGAAAGTGCCCAGAAACTCCTCAGAAAACCACTATTGTGGTTCTTGCTGCTATGGCTGCAAAAAAGGGGACAAGAAGGGCACTGATTCAACATGGTTGGTTGATGCTGTAAACTGTGGTGCAGTGATCTTAACGGGCGTTGAAGCCGAGAGGTTTCTGCTGCAAAAGAGCCCGAATGGGAAAACGAGGGAGAAGAAATGCATCGGAGTGGTTGCCACGAGCACGAATATGAGAAGGAGAATATGCATTGAGGCCAAAGTGACCATTTCGGCTTGTGGCTCTCTCAGAACACCTCCCCTGATGGTCTCGAGTGGACTAACGAACCCAAACATAGGCCGGAACCTCCACCTCCACCCAGTCTTAATGGCGTGGGGGTACTTCCCGGACTCCAATTCAAACCTCCCGGGCAAAATCTACGAAGGAGGCATAATCACCTCAGTACATAAAGTGGGCACTACTGAATCCAATGTGAAAGCCATTATCGAAACTCCAATCCTCGGGCCAGGTTCATTCGCTGCAATTTTCCCCTGGAATTCTGGCCAGCAAATCAAGAACACAATGCTCAAGTATTCAAGAACTGCACACCTCTTCGCAATGGTTAAAGATAAGGGAACCGGAGAAATAAGAACCCCGGGGAGAATAAGCTACAAATTCGACACATTGGACAAAGAAAACCTGGCATCCGGGCTACGCCAAGCACTGAGGATCCTAATTGCAGCAGGAGCTACAGAAGTGGGCACTCATCTCAGCAATGGCCAGAAAATCAAGTGCAAAGGCACGAGCAAAGACGAGATCGACGAGTTCTTGGACACAGTCATCGCCCCCGAGGGGCCAAAGTCTCTCACCAAGAACTTCACCACTTACTCCTCGGCTCACCAAATGGGGAGCTGCAGAATGGGGATCACAGCAGCAGTAGGAGCAGTAGACGAGAACGGGGAGAGCTGGGAAGCAGAAGGGCTGTTCGTCTGTGATGCCAGCGTCCTTCCTGGAGCTGTCGGGGTTAACCCGATGATCACCATCCAGTCCACTGCATTCTGCCTCTCCAAGAAGATTGCAGATATGTTCAAAGAAGGCAGATTCTCGTGTTGATCGATTCCTATATATACATATACACATACATATTCTCGTCTTTGTAAAATCCATTTGGTTGTGATATTCTCATCTCATAAGTCATACCCAATAAGTTGTGCCTGTAAGTCTGTAACAGTTTCTGGGAACTCGATTTTCTTGATATTTACTAAGAATAATGATCATGTTTTATTCAGCGTTCGAGATACATTTGCGCGACGAAATTCAAGTTAGAAACAAAAAACAAAAAAAAACACATACATTAACATTAGCTGAATGCCTTCTCAATCTCTACCCAGTTTTAGCCATCAGAGTCTGTCTCGCGAAATGGTAAAGGAACTGCCTTCACTGCCCGGAACTTGCCAACGTTGCTCAAATGCTCATGCTCCAACCTGTCGAATGAATCAACCATGAATATAATGTGAATCAGAAGTCGGGATTCCTCGATGGAGCACATGCTTCAATTTGGTATCAGATAAGCGACTACGGTCCACGTGTTGAGCATATAACCATTAATGTGCAATCCAACTATCAGCTTAGGCTTTTAGTTGAAATGGAGCACATGCTTCAATTGAAGGAATCTGATAAACCGAGAAATATGTATCTGTTTGTACCTGTAGAAGTTCCAGTGTCCACGTCGAAAGACCTCGAGAGAAGCCAGGGAGAAGTCGAGCAGGCGAGACTCAAAGATCCCAACGTTGAAACGCATCACTGTCTCCACCCAGGCGAGCCTCAACACGAAATTCAGAACCTGAAAAACCAAATCTGTTTAGCAGAAACATGGAAATGTAGTTAAGCAAATTAAAGGGTGTCTGATCTGTCAAGAAACTCACAATGGACACATAGTATATGATCTTGTTCTTGAGAACCAACTCATCTCTCAGCAACGGGTTCTTGCATTTCAGGTTGAAAAACCCCCAATCCTTAACGAAATCCCAGTACAACTGATAAACAGTGGCTATGGTTGAAGTCACCAACACCATAGCCAGCCAGAGCTTAGAGTCTGGCTCCCTGGAATATGTTAGCCTAGCACCAGCAGCCACCATGGCGGATAAATACTTCCCGAAGTTAGCCAGATGGTTCACGTCGTTCTCATCAAACCATCGCCTCGCACACTGAACCATCAAAAATTCAATCACACGGTCCATAAATAGAGTACAGAGTATGGAAACAGGAAACTAGTTACACCCAAACCACAAGACTAGGCCAATACAAACTAGTTACACCCAAACCACAAGACTAGGCCAATACAAACTAATAACAGACTAAGTCTTAACAGTTTTTACCTGAGCAGCGCGCCAGTAGTATGGCGCGAAGGAGATAACATAAGCAAGTTCTCTGTACATTTGCCCCGATTTGCAGGTCTCAAACCTGTGAGTCTTGAAACTCCCAGCAAGGAAATAGCAGGCTGTGGACTCCATGTGCCTTAACAATGGAATCTGCAGACAATTTAGGGAAGAAAACAGTGCATTAATAGACCTGTTATTTGACAAAAACCATTTGCAGTGTTTAGAACAACAGACTCTGAATATTACCTGGCTGGTAAGTTGATCAGCCATGAAAAAGTCCACCATCAAAACCTGGATAAGTAAAGAACAATCACTTCAAGAACTGAGTTACGGGGGAAATTGCAGCCACTACTCGAGAGTGTGTACTGGGTAAACACCGCCCTGTGATCCTAGCCAGCAAAGGATCACAAAGAGATAAACCAACCTCGGTTAAGCATAACTGACCAGCTCAAACCAAGAAGGCCAATAGGTCGCTGGCTAAACCCCGTCTTGTAACCTTAACCAGTAAATGACCACAAAAAGGGCTAGACTAGGTTGCCCATAGCTTACCAGCTCAAACCACGTTGTGGTTACCAAGTCAACAGTCAGACCAATTTGGCGGAGTTCAAGAATTCGTTCTTGATTACATTAATTGTACTATGAATGAACAAAAGAATGGGGATGAATTGAAGTACCTTGTAAAATGGAGAGCAGACAATGTTGCGAATTACTCTAAGGAAACAGACGCGAGTTGGGCGGTAGAGTATGTTCAACGGGCATATAAGCAAGACAAGGAAACACTGCCAAAGTAAAGTTCGAGAGAGTGTTGGCAAAGAATATAATCAAACTCTTGACTATTATGTACGAGAAAAATCATGTTCCACCCATTTCCAGTAACTAACGTCTATTATTGCATCAGTCACAAGATTCAAACTCGAGATTTTACCAGAATGAGAACCCCGGGAATGTCGTGGACTTGATTAGAAGTGAATCCCTTGGACAAGAGGATGAGGTGGACAACCATGGCTCCAACAACAGCAGTCATCAAAGAAGTGCAAATAAGGAAAGCATCTCTGTACTTTAGGGCGGTTTTTGGTTGGAATTCGAATATGAAGTTATAGTTGATCCTTGTGCTCTTCCACAGGAAAAGGTTGCACCCATACAAAAATACATGCAAGCTTAGCAAAGCAAACATGCTGCAAATAATTCACAAAAATTAATAAATAAACTCATTATTTGATTAAAAAAAATACCATCCATTAATTAATCATATAATAGTTATACTTAGTGGCACCTGAAAACTGGGTACACAGTTTCAACATAGCCAGCATCTGTTCCTGGAGAGAACATACCACTCAAATGTGCCAATATTCCATACACCACAAATAAAGACACAAAGCACCCAGTAAATAGCCCTGCATATATATAAATCAATACCAATATTATTTTACGCAAATTATGGTACTGCCGCTGGTGAGACTGGATCTCGGGATTATTGTTCCCAAATTGCACTCATATAACCAACTGAGTTGCTCATGCGCAGAGAACAATTAAGTATTAACCATATGGGATAGGGTTATTCCCAACCAAGTTAGTCAAAGCATTTGGCTTAGTAATTATTACTGGCTCCAAATCCTACTCCCTGTGGGAACTGGGTTGTATTGATATGTTTTTTGATATTATCGTTGCTTGAATTTGAGCAAATAATTGCTCAGTTATCCGTGCAGTGCGAGTGCAGTGTGCGTGCAATGCATGTGCGATGCACGGATAAAATTTTTTATTATATATTTAGATAATAAAATTGTTACTATTTCTTTAATCCTTTCAAAATTTGTTAAATACTCATTCAAATACTTGTGAATACGTATCAATGCAGAACACTACTGAAATTTTTCGTATGAGCAAAACAGACATGGGGGGCCGTTTCTACATTAGAGAGAAATGGTCTCCCCGAATATGCTTTTCCTTGGTTCATATCCGATTAAAATAGTATGATTAGAAAAAAATACGGTATTAATTTTAAAGATTTTGAATTTGGTAAGGCCTCATTTATTTAACGGAACAGGGCCACAGAAATCTAAAAACGCGCCCTGAAACTGATTATTGGTCTTTTTTATTTGAATCGGCCAGTTATGAATAACTTAAATTGATTTATCTTTTTGTAATTCTTTATCAGTTAGAGTAGATTTGACCCAGAGCTTTATCGGATACAAAAAGTTAAAAGGAGTAATTAATAATTACCAGCAAAAAAGGTGATCATGTGAGACTCTTTCTGCTGTTGTGGGCGTAAGAATTTCATAGCCTTTTTCCGGTCATTGGTGGCGAAGTGCTGTGTGAATAAGGACTCCACTTCGTCCATTAACCGCACCACCTTCTCAAAATTAAATACACAATTAATTATCATTAAACAATTAATTAATTAGTGTAAACCCATTAACATCCACGTCACTAACCATTTTCTTATTATTATTGCACTGAGATTGAAGAAGTAATGGGCACTATGCGTTATGACAGTATATATATACATCAACAATGCATTAACTCAGTTCTTTAATTAAAATTTTTTAACTTAATTAATCTTATGATATAGTGCATGCATGATGCCTAAGTAAATAGTTCTTTAATTTATTTTCTTACCTTATCAGAACTAATGAAATGTGACCTCTTCACTTGTTTGAGGTAATTTGCAGATGCCTGCCGGTTAGATACCTGATTTTATAGGGGACAAAAATAAAATATGCAATTAGTTTAATTTAATGTGAATCATATATACATAATCATTCAGTACAAATTGATCAGACTGTTGACTTGATAACCATAAAATTACATATTTCATTTTCACTTACAAATTCCCATGCATGTAAGCATATATATCATATATGCATCCTAGGTTATTCAATTCCTAGGAACATATTGAACGACAAAGATTTATGCAAGTGGAAGTGACGAATGCACACATTATTGTTACGTACCTTGTCAAATTTCTTAAGGATCTTGACAAAAGCCACCATGTTTAGAGAGCTGCCAAAGCACAGTAGAGTGAAACAAATTAAATTAAAGCATATATGTGAGGTTAAATTAAATTTCGTTACGTTCAAGGAACCACCATCGTCAGTCAAAGGTGGCTGTACCTCGGGAAAAAGAAACTTTCAGATGTCTACCCTAAAAGGAGAAAAAAGTTCATGAAACTAACATTAACCTAATCCTTTTGATTGCTAATTCTCCCTGATCTTGTGTTTATTGTCTTTTGCTTTATTGTTGCTTTAATTTCTTTTCATATCAATTAATGCATGGCTAGCTTTCTAGCTACGTACTGCTAAGTTGAGTGAATGATTGATTGAAGCAAAGATTATTCTATCGGGATAATCTAAATTTTAGTGTACTAAATGGCATGACTGGTTCATTTAGCCCGTCAGCCCATAAACTACAGATTGAGTTGGGAGTTTTCTAATCCGTATAAAAATGAACTGGTCTGTCCTGTTTTTCTCCAACTTGTGACGGGTCTGTTCACCCGTTTAGCCCGTAAACTACGGGTTGGATTGGGATTTTTCTAATTCGTATAAAAATGAGTTGGTTCGTTCCGTTTTTCGCCAATCCGTGACGGGCCAGTTCATCCGTTTAGTCCGCCAGCCCGTAAACCATGAGTTGGATTGAGATTTTTCTAATTCGTATAAAATTGAGTTGGCCCGCGTTGTTTTTCGCCAACCTGTGACGGGCTAACCTGTATGAGTCGGGCTGGTTCGTATTGACAACTCTGGTACAAATTATTTTATTTTATTTCTTTAATAAAATTAAGATATATGATGAGATTAATATTATGGTACCTGTATGTTTTTAGCAGTCCAAGGCCACGGTAGAGCTCCACGTAAGCCCCTCTGATCATCTTTTCAGCGCACTGTATCTTCTTGGAGTTGACATATTCTCTGCC